CCCATCCTGAGATTCATTCATTCATTCAACAATTACTGAATGTCCCTTTTGGGCCATGCGCTGTGCTAGTCGCTGGGAATAAATGAGGGGTAAATTAGACAGCCAGGGAAAGACTGTGCCCTTCTGGAGCATACACGGCCACCCACTCTATCTCATTCTTTTCTACAGCCTTGCCAGTGCCTTCCGCATGGCCTCGGAAGTGGGTTAGCAGTCCATGCACCAGTGGGACTATCTCCTGTCATGTATGCCCATGACCACGATGTGCTGAGTGCTGCGAAGTTACTAAGAAAGGAACAGTAAACACTACCTGGGAATCCGTAAGAATCCCTTTCACTCAATTTTCTGAATATACGTACTTGCTAACCTCATATGGAGATCAAGGATCCACTTTTCACTGTACCCCATTAAGGACGAGGGCACAAACAGGGGTGCACGGCTTTCTGTGACGTTGGCTGGAGCTACAGCTGGGGCAAAGCCAAGGCCCCACCCTTCTCCCCACTGGTTCCCACGGGAGTGGAGGGTAACAGTACTCACCGGTGGGCCTCTTGGGCACAGGCGTGGGGGGGCTCCGACTGCCTGGCCCAGCTGAGGCAGGACTGGCAGCGGCCGGGGCTTTTGGAACAGTCTGGGAGCTCTTGGCGCCAGGCCGGGGGGCTGGAGCAGAGGCTGGCTTGGATGGTGAGGCCCGCTTCTCCAGAATCTTTGCCTCTGCAACAGGCTGGTGACAGGGAAATGGGAATAAGAGCTGCAGGTCAGCAGGCGGCCCGGGAAGTCAGCGGACACCAGAAAAACTGTGGATTTGGCACTCACTGACAGAACAGTTTATGCTGTTCTAAGATCTAAGTCCTTCAGACAGAGTGAGAAACGGGCCATGCAGGGTGCTGTGTCAGCTGGAGTCAGGGAACGGAGCCTAACTATCTCAATCCAGCCTGCACCAGTGAGAATGAACAAACCAGAAAAGTATACCACATCACAAACACAGTCTGTCTCAGGATCTAATGTATTTAAATACATTAAATATATCAGTATTTTAATTACTTGACCGAAGATAAGTAAATATATAAACAACACAAAAAATGTAAAAATGATGTTCAAATCCAGTCACTCTTTTGGCGAAGATGCACACAGTGAATGCTGGTTAAGGCTGCAAACAGTGAGAACACTGGCCTCACCAGTCAGATGAGAATGCTAAGCTCTAAAGTCCCAGGCAGGCCCCCAACTCAGTGTGTTCCTGGCAAATCACAGTGTCTCTCTGGGCTCTATTTCCTCAGTCGGATAAAGGAATTCGGCACAGAGGACCCCGGGACCAGCTGTGATGCCATGTGGTGTTAGGGACTAGAGGAGGAGAAGTCTCTGAGAGCACAGGCACGTGGAGAGCGGGGCGGAGGGGGCAGGCCTGACCCCCACAGGGGATGAGGAGCACTGATGTCGCAGCTGTGACTGAGAGCCAAGGGGAAAAGTCTTGGCATCTGGGTCACTCTAGCCCCTCTTCCAGGGAGGCTGGGCATGGCGTCACTAGTAAGGAAGGGAAGGAATCATGTAGCCTGGTTTCTATGGGAACAGAAGTACCAAGTTACTCTAGACAATAAGCCAAATCATAGACACAGTGTATCCAGCCCTTTTACTCCATGACAAATGGCCACACAGTGTCGTATGTTGGTGGAGACAAGCAGGATACAGCTTAAATGGAAAATCAGCTAAGGAGGTGCTCAGAAATTAAGGGCTGGCATCGAATTAAAGTCTAACCCTGAAAGCGCAGGGTAATGGCTGTTTCTACAAATGAAGTCCCTAAGTATAGCTGGAATTAGAGGAACTGGCTCAGCCACCAGCTCTGTTTGGAATAGATCGTAGGATTTATGCAGAGGGATCCCTCCTGTCGGCTCTAAGATCTGAGTATAAAACAGACACTCTCTGAGGCCTCCTTCAAATTCTCAATATTAGGACTATGATTCAGAATAATCTACTAGGGTCTTATTTTGCTAATAATAGTGATAAAATAAGTTGGAAAAAAGGTACTAAGGATAGAAGGCTCTAAAAAATGTGACATCCTTGATTTAGAGGTCAGGCTCTTGGCTTCAGCAAGCGACAGAACCAGCCTGCTTTCATAACCGCAGTTACTCTGCTGTTTATCATTTTACAAATTTTCTTCTCTACCAGAATCCTGGATCTACTTTTTCTAAGTAAGTTTTTTTTCCTTTTGTTTGTTTTTTTTCTTTTGCTTTCTCTTTCTACCAAATAAGGATAAAAATAAATTTCATTAGACTTTAGTTTTTAATCAATCTCTCAAAATATTTTCATCTGTTTCTTATCTAAAAAACAAACAGCAGTAGTAACTGGAATGCAGATCACATTTTCAGGTCAGCTGTATCTCAGAGTGCTGTCTAAAAGCTGCATGGCAAAAGCCACGAAAGAACAGTGTTGACAGAGGCCCTGAGCATCAGTGGTGGAGTCAGCCCCAAGCTCCCACACTGCCTCTGCTACCAGCTAGCACTGGACCTTAGGAAGGTTATCTCACTGAGCTATGAAATGAGAATACTAATACCCACACATCAGGGGTTGCTGACCGAGAGAATCAAAGGAATTAACTTATATAAAGGAACCAGTAGAGGACACTTCATGGTTGTTATTACTGCCAAGTGAAATTTCACTGGACCACCTCCCCCTGCCGTCTTCTGTCTGCCCCAGGATTTGCCATGCCAGGGCTCCAGTCACCCTCCCTCTGCCCTCTCATGCAACTAAATCATCTTCTCACGATCAAGAAAAGCAGTCAACTGGGTAAATGGGGAGCGCCAGAAAGCTATATATTTTATCATTCTTAACCTATGACAGGATTTCTCAGTTTCTTGGCCAGATTCCAACCGAGACTACAATTCCTAGGTTCCATCAATTTTCTTTACAAGATTAGATGATACACTAACATTGCCCACCATGAATTTAAAGAACAACACTGAGCTGACCGAAAAGCCCTTCTCAAGCAAAACAAGATGTTAAGGAAGGCAGCCACAGAGCCCAGCTGCCCTTCTAGAACGATCCTGCTGAAGCCACTCCTACTCCAAATGGACCGGTTTCTAGGCAGTTATGTGTGGCTGACCTGGAAAACTGAAAACCTGCAGCGGGGAGCCCATTGAGAGAGGCCCAATGTCAAAAGCAAAGAAGTTGTCACACGTTGTTGGAACCTACAGAGATCAGCCAGAAGACCTTATCCAAAAAAGTCACAGGCGAAACTCACTTCTGCTAGAGGATTAAAGAGAACGATAAGGAAGCGAATATGGGGACTCTGACGTGGAACTGTACCAAAAAGGAGTAGGTGACAGTATGTGGAGGAGGGCAAACTCGCTAACAGGTGTTCAAACAAGGGAAGAGTAAGGAGGAGCTGGGAGAAAGGAAAAGAAACCTAAGCAGAGGCAGTACTGCCTCCCAGCAGGGCAGGGAAAGGTACAAAGTCTGAAAGGCCTTCAGGTGTTATGGCTGCATTGTGCACCCTCAAGATTTGCAAGTCGCCTCTCTCCCCTTCCCCCAATTCCACCAGCTCGACTGCACTGCGTGGCAGCAACGAGAGCGATCGACCCTCGGAGGGGAGAACGTCTCCCAGGCACAGGGCCTGGGTGGCTACTTACCTTGGGTTTTGAGTCTTTTGAAGGTAAGGTGGACGGCCTGGCAGTGGCGGTGGCAGGGCGTTTGGGTGGGGCAGCCGGCACTAAGCCTGCAGCGAGGCTCATGGGTTTTTTATTCGCCCCACCAAAGGTGGCGGGAGCTGGCTGCTTAGGGAGAGGACTGGGCTGAGTTTTGGCTTTCGATGTTGAAGTCTTTGCAGGCTGAGTGGCGGCCAAAGGCTTTAAGTTGATGTGTTGTTTTTTTGTTTGTTTGTTTGGTTTTTTTTTTTAAAGCCAACATCAAACACACAGACAAAAATAAAAACAAATGAAAAAAAGTATAAATTGCACAATTCAAAGTAAAATTATAAGCAATGAGGATATATGCAACTGAAAAGCAGCATTCCGTTCTTCTGAGCTTGGTAAGGAGTGGAAAGAAACCATGAGAAAAATAAAGAAAACTGGGACTTCATTCTTAATGACAGTGTCACAAATTCCAGCAGTTCAGTACCTGAAGACTTAAATTCAGTGATGGTTTTAAACAATTAACTAATTTTTGGTGGCTGCAATAATTCTATGAAGAAGTCACCAGCAGGTAATTAAACGGTCATTATTTGTGCCTTGATGAGGCAACATGGCAGGGTTTTAGGACCACACTGAAGTATGGCATTTGTATTCTCCAACGAGCACCGGTAAGTTCCTGAAGCTTTGCTCCACCTTAAAAATCTGAGTTCTCGGGGCGCCTGGGTGGCTCAGTTGGTTAAGCGACTGCCTTCGGCTCAGGTCATGATCCTGGAGTCCCAGGATCGAGCCCCGCATCCGGCTCCCTGCTCAGCGGGGAGTCTGCTTCTCCCTCTGACCCTCCCCCCTCTCATATGCTCTCTCTCCCTCTCTCATTCTATCTCTTTCAAATAAAAAAAAAAAATCTGAGTTCCCTTTTTACGAATGAAGAATCTATTTCTGAATAGTTCTGCAAATCCCGTTATTGTTGTTGTTAAGGGAAGCAGAAACAACCTCTACAGAACATTTCTACATGTATTCAAGATAATGGGGTCAAAGGCAGAGATTTTAAGGGTTGAGTTAGGCTACGATGATAAAATAGGAATATAAAATATTTTCTAAGAATGTCCAGAAAAGGACTACTGATAGCTCAGAAAAAACCAAATTTCATTCATTAATTCAAGCAGTAATAGCAGAAGATACAGTTTTTAAAAATGGTAGCAGGAGAAGATAACCCCACCACTCTGGTGCCTACCTTTGTTTTCTTCTCTGGGCTAGGTGGGAGCTCCTTGTTTGGAGGGGCGGTGATGTCATTTCCGGTCACACTCCCTGCAGGCCGTCCTTCTTCTGGCTTACTTATTCCTAAGTGGGGGTAAAGTCATGCTAAGCAGATGTTTTTCATACCCATTTTGAAAAAGCAAGTCTTAGGAAGACAGACCACTGACTAGGACTCCGTTCTGAAGAAAATCCACAGTGCTGTGCTCTGAACTGTGGACAAGACTCCCAAGTTCCTCTCACTGTGACAGGACCGTTTTAGATTCCAGAGATTCAGGCAGACAGTCCCTGTGGAAAAGCAACCTAAGTGGGATTTGCACAAATGACCAATGGAAGGAAACAGCCCTTAAAGTTTGGTTTCCCTTCCCTGGAGACCAGCAAAGGGGTTCTGTCACCCAACCACTAACCCTGGAGCACACAGGGGACAAACACCTCTTCTACTAGAGTTTCTCTCTTAGAATAAAGGTTGCTGAAGATGGGATAAGAGCCAGAAGATCATCCAATGTCCTCCCCTTACTTCCTTTCCCTATAAAGCACCACTTTATGGAGGATGTGAGATTAACTTGATCTGGTTCTAGCAGTGACCCAGATTTCCAACAAGCCCGAGGAGACCCATGAAATCAGACCCAAGGCCAGAAATAAAGTCTACGCCTAATGCTTGGCCCAGCAGCACCACTGTGGGGACGTAACTCCAGATTTCAATAGGGCTACACCTGAATGCAATGAAATACCATGAAATTTATAACCTGGGTGTGGTAAAGACCTTTCTGAGTGGCACAAAATCCAGAAGCCACAGAAGATCAGTCTGACTAAGGAAAAATTAAAAACAAAACAACAAACTTCAGTGTGGCCAAAAAAAAAAAAAAAAGAAAATGATAAGAAAAGTCAGAAGGCAGGGGCGCCTGGGTGGCTCAGTCGTTAAGCATCTGCCTCCGGCTCAGGTCATGATCCCAGGTTCCTGGGATCAAGCCCCGCATCGGGCTCCCTGCTCGGCGGGAGGCCTGCTTCTCCCTCTCCCTCTCCCCCCGCTTGTGTTCCCTCTCTCGCTGTATCTCTCTCTGTCAAATAAATAAATAAAATCTTTAAAAAAAAAAAAAAAAGTCAGAAGGCAGACAATTAACAGAAAAAATATCATTAACATCACATCAAAGACAGAGCTTATTATATAAATTACTCCTACAAATCACTAACTCCTATAAAAGCCAACAACCCACTGGAATAACGGCCCAAAGATTATGAACACAGTTTACAGAAAAGGAAATATAAATCAAAATACAAATTGAAAATAAGAAAGGATGTCCAATTTTTCATAGAAATAAAAACTAAAACCACACTGAGATGCCATTTTTAACCTAACATATTGTCGGAAGTCCTACAATGTGAAAACAGCCTGTGGGGATAAATGAAGATACTCGCTGCTGCGAAGTGTATGGAATGGTACAACTCCTATGCAGGGCAATCTAGCGGTGTTTCTGAAGACTCTAGGTATAGATAGATTCTAATCCAGATATCCAATTTCCAGAAACTTATTTCAGAGGCATACTCACACACCAGCAAAATAGCAAATGTGCAAGATCTTCATCAGAGCATTGCTCCTAACAGCACAGAACAGAAACACCCCGGAAGTCTGTTCATAGAAACGTGATTTAAGCACCACGGCAGAAATATCAATGTACTCTCTGTATCTGAAAAAATAAAGCATGACCAATATGGAACCATCTCTATTAAGTGAAGAAAAAAAGTAAGGTGCAGAATAGTTAAGATTATAGGAAACCCATTTGTCTAGAGAAGGGATGGGGGCAAATACATTTCTAATGCAAATACACTTGTGCATGCATTTTAAAAAGGCCTTTGGAAGGAACTTCCAAGGTCACACTTGACCTTGCCTCCCCCAACACTACCTCCTGCAAAAGTACAGCACACTATCAAAACCAGGGCGCTGGGTGCCTTGGTGGCTCAGTTGGTTAAGCGACTGCCTTTGGCTCAGGTCATGATCCTGGAGTCCCAGGATCGAGTCCCACATCGGGCTCCCTGCTCAGCGGGGAGTCTGCTTCTCCCTCTGACCCTCTTCCCTCTCGTGCTCTCATTCTCACTCAAAAACAAAAAACAAAAAACAAAAAACCAGGACGCTGGTATTGGTACAATCTACGGAGGTTACTCGGATGTGTCCAGTTCCACGTGCACTCATTCGTGAGAATGTGCACGCGCATGCGTGCAATTTTAGCACATGTAGCTTTACATAACCACTCCTAACAATCAGGACAGATAAGTGTGCCATTACCACAGGGCTCCCTCATGTCACCCTTTTAGAGCCACCCTCCCCCCTCCTTTTCTAATCCTTAAATCTCTGGCAGCCACTAATCTGCTCTCTATCTCTACAACATTATCTCAAGAATATTACATAAGTGGAATCATACAGTATGTTCCCTTTTGTGTCTGGCTTCTTTCATCCAGCCCGGTGCTTCCGAGATGCATCGGTGGTGTTGCATGTATCAGCGGTCACTGCTCGTGGTACGGCTCTACCAGTTTCACTATCCACCTACTGCGGCTACAAATATTGATGCACAGGATTTTTATTAAAATGGTGTCACTGTTGGGCGCCTGGGTGGCTCAGTCGTTAAGCGTCTGCCTTCAGCTCAGGTCGTGATCCCAAGGGTTCTGGGATCGAGTCCCGCATCGGGCTCCCTGCTCAGTGGGAAGCCTGCTTCTCCCTCTCCCACTCCCCCTGCTTGTGTTCCTGCTCTCGCTGTCTCTCTCTCTGTTAAATAAATAAAATCTTTAAAAAAAAAAAAATGGTGTCACTGTTAGTATATGGAAATACAGTTAATTCCATCCTGTGACCTTGCTGAAACACTTATTAGTTCTAGGACGTTTTTTGGTAGATTCCTTGGAAATTTTTTTTTTTTTTAAAGATTTTATTTATTCATTTGACAGAGAGAGACACAGTGAGAGGGAGCACAAGCAGGGGGAGTGGGAGAGGGAAAAGCAGGCCTCCCGCGGAGCAGGGAGCCCGATGCGGGGCTTGATCCCAGGACCCTGGGATCATGACCTGAGCCGAACGAAGGCAGACGCTTAACGACTGAGCCACCCAAGCGCCCCTGGGATTTTCTATATAGACAGTCATGTCATTTGCAAAGAGAGCCAGATTTATTTCTTCCTTTCTAATCTAAATGCTCTTTTATTTCCTTTTACTTTGTTGTGCTGATCAGAACTTCCAGAACCACATTAAGTAGGAGTGGTGAGAGCAGGCATCCTTGCCTCGTTCCCAGTCAGGGGGAAAGCACTCAGTATTTCCCTGTTAAGTGTGATGGTACAGTTGGTTTTTTGTAGATGAGGAAGTTGATCAAGCTGAGGAAGTTCTCCCTCTAATCTTGGATGAGTGTTTTACCATAAATGAGTGTTGGGGTTTTGTTGAATGCATTTCTGTGCTTATGAATTTTTAGACTGTTGATATGGATTATGTTGATTTGGTTTTTGATTACTGAACCAGCCGTGTGTATCTGGAATAAACTCCATTTGGCTGTTGGGTACAGTTTTTATATATTCCTGGATATGATGTTAACATTTTGTATCTAAGTTCATGAGAGATACTAGTCTGTAGTTTGTTTTGTATGGTCTTTGTCTGGTTCTGCTATCAGACAAATTCAGACCTCAAGAAATGAATCAGAAATTTTCCCTCCTCTTATATTTTCTGGAAGAGAATGTGTAAAATTGGTGTTAATTATTCTTTAAATATAAGGTAAACCCCTAGAGTGAATCCCTCAGGAACTTTTTAATTTAAAAATCTAATTTTATTAATGGTTATTCAGGTTATCTATTTCATCTTGGTTTAGTTTTGGTAACTTGTGCTTTTCAAGCAATTTATTCTAAGTTATTGAATCTGGGGGTGTAAAGGTGCTCCTGGTGTTCACTTCTATCCTCTTAATGTGTTCACTTCTATCCTCTTAATGGCTGTAGTGACGTCCCCTATTCCTGTTGTTAGTGGTTTGCGTCTTCTTTTTATCTGTCAATTTTGTTCAAGGTTTACCAGCTGTATTAGTTTTTTTTTTTTTTAAGGATTTTATTTATTTATTTGACAGAGAAAGACACAGCGAGAGAGGGAACACAAACGGGGAGTGGGAGAGGGAGAGGCAGACTCCCCGCCGAGCAGGGAGCCCGATGCGGGACTCGATCCCGGGACTCCAGGATCATGACCTGAGCCGAAGGCAGTCGCTTAACCAACTGAGCCACCCAGGTGCCCTGTATTGGGATTTTTTTAAGAACCGGCTTTTGGTTTAATAAATTTCCTTTGTTGTTTTCTTGTTTACAATCTCACTGATTTCTGCTTGCTTCGGATTTATTTTTTCTTTTTCTAGTTTCTTGATATAGCAACTTAGACTACTGATTTGAGATCTTTTCTCTTTCTAATGTAAGCACGTGGAGGCCATAAGTTCCCTCCCAGCACTGCTACGGCTGCATTCTACACATTTTGGTATGTTGTATTTTTGTTTTTATTCAGTTCATTTTAGTATATGTGCTGCCGAAGCGAGCACTTTATTCAGTTCATTTTATTTTTAATTTATTTTGTTTTAAATTTTAATTCCAGTTAGTTAACATACAGTGTAATATTAGTTGCAGGTGGGGCGCCTGGGTGGCTCAGTCATTAAGCATCTGCCTTCAGCTCAGGTCACGATCCCAGGGTCCTGGGATCGAGTCCCACATCGGGCTCCCTGCTCGGTGGGAAGTCTGCTTCTCCCTCTCCCACTCCCCCTGCTTGTGTTCCTGCTCTCGCTGTCTCTCTCTGTCAAATAAATGGAATCTTTAAAAAAAAAAAAAATTAGTTGCAGGTGTACAATACAGTAATTCGACACTTCCATACAGCACCCTGGGATCATGAAGTTCATTTTAAATTTCTTAAAAGATTTAAAAATTTTTTTGAAGTAATCTCCACACCCAATTTGAGGCTCGAACTTACAACCCTGAGATCAAGAGTTGCACACTCCACCGACTGAGCCAGCCAGACCCTCTCATTTTTAAAATTTCCTGTGATAACTTCCTCTTTGACCCATGGATTATTAAGAAGTGTACTCTTAATTTCCAAATGATTAAAGATTTTCCTGTGGTCTTTCTATTATTGGTTTCTGATTTGATTCCATATGGCCAGACAACATATTCTGTATGATTTTTATTTTATTTTATTTTATTTTTTTTAAGATTTTTTATTTATTTATTTGAGAGAGAGAATGAGATAGAGAGAGAGAGAGCATGAGAGGGGGGAGGGTCAGGGGGAGAAGCAGACTCTCTGCTGAGCAGGGAGCCCGATGCGGGACTCAATCCCAGGACTCCAGGATCATGACCTGAGCCGAAGGCAGTCACTCAACCAACTGAGCCACCCAGGTGCCCTTTTTTTTTTATTTTAAAGATTTTATTTATTTGGGAGAACGCGAGAGGGGAGAGAGTATGAGCAGGGGAAGGCACAGAGAGGGAGAAGCAGACTGCCTGCTCAGGACCCCAGGATCATGACCTGAGCCGAAGATACATGCTTAACTGACTGAGCCACCCAGGCGCCCCTGATTTTAATCTTCTAGATGTACTGAAGTTCATTTTGTGACCTAGGATCCATCTTGGCATATGTTCCATGGGATCTTGAAAAGAATATATATTCATTCTGCTGTCGTTCGGTGGAATTTCTGTAAATGTCAACTGGATCCTGTTGTGTGATGGTATTAAGTTATTCTTTACCTTTACTAATACTCTGTCCAATAGTTCTATCGATTGCTTAGAGTGGGATGCAGAAGTCCTGAACCATAATTGTGGATCTATTTCTCCTTTCAGCTCCATCATTTTTTGTTTCATGTATTTTGCAGCTCTGCCTTTTGGTGCGTATACATTTAGAACTGCTCTGTCTTCTTGATGGACTGATTCTTTATTCTTTGCTCTGAAGTTCAGTTTGTCTGATATTAATATAGCCACTTAAAAAAATTAAGGTTTTTAAAAAAATATTTTATTTATTCATTTGAGAGAGAGATAGAGCACAAGTTGGGGGAGTGGCAGGGAGAGGGAGAGGGAGAAGCAGGTTCCCCACTGAGCAGGGAGCCCGATGTCATGCTCCATCCCAGAACCCTGGGATCATGACCTGGGCCGAAGGCAGATACTTAACTGACTGAGCCACCCAGGCACCCCCCAAAAATTAATGTTAACATGATATATCTTTTTTCCACCTTTTGCTTTCAACCTACCTGTGGTTCTTATGATTGACATGCATTTCTTGTAGAGGGCATGTCCTTGGGCCATTTTTAAATAATCTATCCTTCCAATCTCTGTCTTTTAATTGTAGTATTTAGACTTTTTGCATTTAAAGTAATTACTGATAGGCTAAGGCTTATACTGACATTTTATTATTTGTTTTTTTCCCTCTAGACTTTAATTTTAATTAATTCAAAACAACGTAACTTAGGGGGCGCCTGGGTGGCTCAGTTGTTAAGCGTCTGCCTTTGGCTCAGGTCATGATCCCAGGGTCTTGGGATTGAGCCCCGCATTGGGCTCCCTGCTCAGCAGGAAGTCTGCTTCTCCCTCTCCTACTCCCCCTGCTTATGTTCCCTCTCTCGCTGTGTCTCTCTGTCAAATTAAAAAAACAAAAAAACCCCCCCAAAAAACATAACTTAGTACCAAATGTTTAAACATCCATTATAATTGCTACTGTGTAATCAGCATTGCTTAATCTAATCAGCTACGCAAACCCATCCATTTTTCTTTAGGAAAAAAGTAGTAGAAATCCCAAAGAATGAAGGAAGAGACTACTAATTAAAGGTCACATTCATTAATCTAGCACCATAGTTCCAGTCTTAGGCCATCTCAAGTGGCTGGAAGGAGGAAGGGAAGAGATGAGGTGGTTGGAAAAGCATAGTTCTTCGCTTGTGGCCCCCTTTGTGCTCTGAGCCAAGGGAGGATCTAGGAGAAAGGAAAATCACTGAGGCTGGAATTTTGGTTCAGATGGTAAGGAGGCCCTCAAGAACAGCAGAATCGGAATATCCAGAAGGTAGTGCTGGAGTCTGCTCCATGAACTAGGGGGTTTCTTCTTGGCATCCAAGTCCTTTTTTTCTTCAAGTTTTCTAGCCAGGTCTGGTATGTCATAGTTCTGAGCCAGATACATTCCCACCATGGTACTAAAAGTAAATCCAAGTAGGAACTGGAGCATGGTGTCAGTGAGGAGGGCATGGAGGGTGGCTCTGTTATTTTTATTTGTTCCCTCTGTTTCTCTTGCCTGCCGGTGGGCTACTTAAACATTTTTTAAAATCCCATTTTCACTTTTCGCTTTTGAGTGTATGGTTTTGCTTACTTCCATTTAGGATCTTTTGTTCTCCCTGCTTTTTAAATATAATGTCTTAGGTATTTCCTTTTCATACATCGAGCACCACATCAGATGGTACTATAATTTTTGTTTCAATCATCAAATATGATTTTTAAAATTCATGAGGATAGTCCATTTATATTTACCCCGATTTTTACCCATTCCATTGTTCTTGTTGTTCTTTCATTTCTGAAATTCCAAGCCTCCTCCTGTTATGGTATCTTTATCTTTTTGGAGAGTTTCCTTTAGCCTTTCTCTAAGGGTATATCTGCTAGGAACAAATGCTCTTAGTTCTCCTCTAAGAATGTCGTTACTTTCCCTTTATTCCTGTAGGATAGTTTTACCAGATATAGAACTTGCACTTGACTCTTCTTTTCTTCTAGCACTTAAAAAATGTTGTGCCACTTCCTCCTGCCCTCCAAGGTTTCCGGTAAGAATCATGCTGTCATCTGAACTGCTGTTCCCCAACAGCTAATACATAATTTCTCTCTGGTTGCTTTTAAGATTTTTTTTCTTTGTCTTTAGTTTGCAGAATTTAATTATAATATATATTGGTGTAGATTTCCTTGGGTTTTTCTCTTTGAGGTTCATTCAGCTTCTTGAATCTGCAGGTTTAGGTCTTTTGACAAATTTGGGAAGTATTCAGTCATTATTTCTTCCAATAGTTGTTCAGTCTCACATTCTTTCTCATCTCCTGGGATTCCAATAATATGTTAGATTTTGTGTTATTCTCCCAAAGTCTCTGAGGAGCTGTAGTATTTCTTTTTCAGTCTATTTTCTCTCTTGTTGTTCAGATGGAATAAATTCTATTGATCTGTGTTCAAGTTCAATGACTCTGTTCTCTGACATTTCCAGTGTACTATTGAGCCCATCAGACATAGTTTTTAATTTGATTATTTTATCTTTCCTATCCATAATTTCCATTTTGTACTTTTTTATAACTTCTATTTCTTTGCTGATATTTTCTAGTTTTTCATTTGTTTCAAGATAATTCATCATTGCTTGAAGCAATTTTATAATGGCTGCTTTAAAGTCCTAATTTTGTATGTTAGCAGGCAATCACTCTTTAAATTTGGCTGTAGTTTCAATGACAATTTAGTTTCCAGAGCCCTTGTAATGCAATTCTGGCCTGCTGTGTTCTTCTGGCTTCCTGAGACTGTCACTCAATGCCTGCTGGTACTTCCAGTAAGGGCTGAAGGCACTTCCCTGGGCCAGGTGGTTTCACTAGGTGGGGGTTGAGCAATGCTGGACCCAAAGAATGCAGTTTCTCTTGACTTGTTCTCTGGCTGCCTGGCGCTGGCAAGACTTTTGTTCAATCTCTGCAGGTACCACCGGAAGCAGGAAGCACTTACCTGGCCTTTTGCTGCTGGAGGTTAAGGTTGTAGGAGGAAACCTCCCAAGGTCCCGTTCTGCTCCTGGATAGAAGGCTATAAGACGCCAGGCCTGTGGGTGTCCCTGGTGCTGTGGGGGACTAGGGATAGGTCGTACTGTAGTGCTGTCAGGTGTGGAATGGGCAACAGGTAGGTCCTCATGAGCACTGCTCAACAGGACTGAGCCCACTGCTGTTGCTGGTTATGGGGAGGGAAATAGGCTTTCCCCTTTCCTGGTCTTTTAGCAAGAAAAAGTAGGCTTTTTGTTCGTTCTTTTTTTTTCCTTCTCTTCTCCTTCTTCTTTCTTTTTTTTGGGGGGGCGCCTATGCTTGCTGGCACTTCTAGGTTGCAGGTACTCCACAGGGCCCAGACCTGGGTACATGGGAGATTAGAAACAAAACCCAGGGAACTCATGTGCACTGTCCTTCCTCAAGTCCTGAGCTCCCTCCCAGTCTGCCCTCTCGTTTCCACCTTTCAGATTCCTTTTATAATTGTCTGCTGAATTCTTTTCAGGGTATTTATCTGTATTTAGAGGAAAGGAGCAAAAAAAGTGAATCAAGTGGTCTTCTCTTGGTAGGAGATTTTCTAATGTATAGCATTTTGTACTTTTTGATGTTTGAAACCCTATGTATTTTTAGTGAAAACTGAATTTGCTTTGTTTTAAAAATATGGGGGCACGTGGGTGGTTCAGTCAGTTAAGTGGCTCAGGTCATGACCTCCGGGTCCTGGGATCCAGCACCACATTGGCCTTCCCACTCAGCGGGGAGTCTGCTTGTACCTCTCCCTCCCCCCGGCTCGTGCTCTCTCTTGAATAAATAAATAAAATCTTTTAAAAATATATGAAAAAAAAACCCATACCTACGCGTTGCTAATGTCTTTTTTTTCTATAGCAAGCTGAAAGAATATCTTACCAAATGTGTGACTTATTGCCATTAGCCCCAGACCACTATGAACATTTTTCAACAGGCATAGGATTTTTCAGTAAACAACATGAACACAAAGTCGCACTGCCTATGACATAAGCATGTTAACATCTCAACCTGTATAAGTAATTGTCATCCAGTGAAGAACACCTGACATACACATAAGCAGAAACTGCTGTCTCCCACCCAGATGGCGCTTCTCACCATGACCCTCCATCTTTGCCTCAGGGGTCTATGCCAACCAACTGCTAGAGACCACCACCCAAATGTCCCCACAGTTTCGAAAAAGAATGCGCAAAACGGAACTCATAACTGCTCTACCATACTTCTCCCTTCTGTTGGATTTTTCCAGTATGTATGCTGTGGGGAAACCCAGGCTCAGTGTCAGAGCACCACTCTGACTCCTCTCTCTCTCACCCTCCACACCCAGTTTTCAAGTCAAGTTGATTAGTTGATTTCACCTATTATACTTCCCCTTCATGTCGTATTTCACCTGCTACTACTACACGAATCAGGCTGTTGTCACAAGAATTTTTGCCCTCAATCGTCTGTCCTCCAGTTCATCTTATCTACTGAAAACAGGAGAGTCATCCCAAAGCCGACTTTGGGCCACTTTACTGTCAGAGGCAGCCACTTTTTTTTTTTAAAACATCTTAGGGGGGCATTTGAAGCTTGGGTTCCAAACAACTTTCTAGATTTGTTCTCCCATTATTTCTGGCCACGTATGTACAGATGGCTTGGACACATTTGCTCAACCTACACTCTTCTCCTGAGAAGCCCCCAGATGAATGAGGTAAACAGATAATAAGGGATGTAAGGTAGCATGAAGTGGGGCACGGAGCCCAAACCACGGCAACCCAATGCCCTGTGCGGACCAGTCACCAAAGCAGCAAAATGTAAGAGATGGCAGAGAGAAAACAGTTCCCAGAAGGGAAGAGAATAGAACACGTGTTTAGAGCAAAGCAGATGTTCTGAGAGGCACACAATGGCTGCAGCCTGGCTACACTTCCTGCAATTGGCTTCCCTGAGATTCCCTGTCAATAAACACCTTTTTATAAATTTGAGTTCCTCTGAGTGTGTTTCCGTTCTTTGAAATTAAATAATCCTTACAAGGGTGCCCCACGAATACTGGCCATTGTTCTTGTACCTGTTGTGAGCTGTCTAGGCTTCATACCTTTGTTTACATGAGTTCCTCTGCCTGGAAGGCTTTCCCTCGCAATGTTAGACAGTCCCAGGCTCCCTCTCCTCCATGATTCACCCCTCTCTCACTGTTCCTTTCCCCAACCCCAATTAGATCATAACTTGCTTGACAATCTAATGACGATATCCAGTGCCTAGATAGTGACTGGCAGACGGAAAGCATGTTAAGTAAATGAATCTTTATCTAGTTTTACCTACATGGTGTTTAGCAGAGTTGGCACTTAAAACATTTTATTAGGTGAATAGATCAGTGAGGTTTGCAAGTTACTTGAATTTTTTTTCTACCACCATGAACTTCTGTTAGCATGAACTAGGATAAACTTGTTTTGAAATAAACGAAACTCTGCACTCATTACCACCTAGAAGGTATATGGCACGGAACTGGGCAGCAGCGGATCAACAAGAAGATGACACAATCCTATCCACGAGGGGCTTGCAGTTCTGCCCCAGCTAGAAGTAAGCAACAGCACAGAGTACCCGAGTTCTTGTTGTCTTGGAGTCAAAAATCACAGAGGAGCTATGCCGCTTCTTCGCCCATCTCCATTAAAAAACCCTGTTTAGTCTTCTAGGGTCCTTTCTACTACCCCTTCCCCTAGGAAAACACCACTTCTAATTTTAAGAGAAAAGGAGTAAAAAACTTCATGAAAATGTACTGAGAGGAATAAGTATTAGGGAAAGAGGCTTTTTTTTTTTTTTTTTAACAGACAGCACACATGGTTTAAATCCCCATTAAGCAGCTTGTGAATCACGGCCCTTTGTGCTCAAACTGGACTCGGAGGAAAACAAGCTTTTGTAGACCACCAACAATAACCTGGGTGGGGGGGGAGGGATGGGGAAGAGAAGAGCCAGGGAAAGACACAGGAGGCAGCCACAAAGACCCTGACGGTTAGTTGTTTATTAAGTGCAAGTCTCTCCTTCTCTCTCCTTTCCCTTTCTTTCCCTTCTCTCCACAAATTCTACCCCCACACATACAGAAAGAGAAGACTAGAAGCAAGATTGGGTCAAACATGAAGAACAGGAAAAGAATATTAAATAGCCAGTTTTAAAAGGCTCTTTTTCCACTTGAACAAAAGTAAAATGTTCTCAAAAGCGAAATGGAAAACAGAGCTTGCACCCAGGCTGTGCTACTTAATGAGAGGAGGTTAGTGCTGATACGCCCATTGTGAATCCACACAGTGGCAGATTTTCAAGCAAGGAAATCAATCAGTTGTGACTGGATGATTTAGGGCTCAGGAATCATCTGGTTCAAACCAACAGGGAGCTGAGGGATGGGAGGATGGGGGATGGGGTGGGCAGGGTGACATGAGGTCAAGTAAGGGGCTCTATTTCTTATGTCCGCCACCCTCTGACCCCA